CCCCAAAAACCCACCGGCAGGGAATTCTGGGAGTTGAAGTCCACACATCCTGAAGTTGCCAGGATTGAGAAACACTGGCCTAGAGGATACGCTGCAGAAGAGAGGCCAAAAGAGTTAGGCAACTTTAGGTTGTGGGCTTAAAGGTCTTCCATGCTCCTATGTCTGATTTTCACTTACTCCTGCTGCATTTGGGAGTCCTGCTCAGTGAGACTCTGGAGTTTGGCCCCAAAATATAATTGCGATCCCCTCCCTTAGATAAAGGGATATTGAGACTCCTGGCACCAGTGTATAAATCTCGGTTTTAATAACTTTTTGTTTGTTGCTTGATTGGACTTTTTCCTTAAAAAAAAAAAACACTTCCTGTAGAAAAAGTAAAATCCCTTGGTGTCTTGTGAATAACAGTTCCTCCTCTTTGTTAGAATAGGAAGTATTCTTTAATAAGAAGAATAAGTATTCTTCTCTCCTTTAAGGTAATCATGTTCCAGAAGCAAAATAGCTTCACAACCAACACCTTCATTAAAATCTTTATAAAAACTCTTGCAGAAACTGCGTACTTTTTTTCTGCTTGAGCATCGATCACAATGTTAGATTTATTTTGTTTCATCGCACTCATCTAATCAAGATAGTATGATGGTCCTTCCGTTCCTCACCCTCTTACAGTCACAGCTTTAATATTTGGTGTTCTCTTCTACTTGCAGCAACTTTAGGATTGTTGACTCTGTTCTTTCCAGTTATATGGACAAAGATATACGCGTAGCATTTCGTAACAAGTACAGCAATAGAAATGGGTTTTCATGTGACTAGAAAACTGCAGCAAAAGAGAACCCTGCAATGATAGATAAAAGAAAAGAATATATGGAAACCATTGTTATACCTGGGCCCTCCCTTTGGTATTTTTGCACTTGTGCGTAAAACAGTTTCAGCTACTGCATTTTTTAGAAAATTTTTTAACCCAGTTTTTTTAATAGAGTGGGGTTGTCACAGTGACAACCCCACTCTATTAAAACACTGGGAGTTTCACAGTGACATTGGGAGTAAGGGCAGGCAAGTTAGAATAATGTGCAGTCACTGGAGAGCATTAGTTGCATTCTGGATTTGGCTTTCAGTTAGAATGTAGCAACAGTGACATCTGATGCATGAGAACAGTAGTGGACAACCTGCATCATTTTCCCCGACTCCCTTTTTGAGTTCCTCAGAGGTCCCTCTGACCATAATTACTGAAAACTAACAGCACATTTTCCTGCTATAATAAAATGGAAATGCACAAAAACATATACAGTTTGAAGCCCTCAAGTAGGTAAATCACAGAAATCCTACCCTACAAACATATGTGATGAGGCCCCATACACTTTATGGCTTTCATCTCCAAATGTTAAGGGTGATGGTTGGCTACCAAAACTTTAGTTGATATGAAGAATCCCCACAGCAGATAAGTCATGTAGACATGTTTCTTAAGAAATTTAAAGACTTGAAAGTTACTGTTTTCTTTATATCATGGTTGTTTATGTCCTCTTCAGGCTTCTAGCTCAGATCAAGGATGTGTTAACGTATGAGGGCCAAACCACAAGTGAAATGAAATTTGAATTACCAGCCCAGGTCTTGGCTGAGCATGCAGTGGTGAGTGGTAGCCGCCTTTTCCTTCAAGATGTTGTCTTCAGTTCTGGATGAATGACCCTGCCCACGTTTCTAAGAGCTAGTTCCATTCTCATGTTTGGTACATGTTTTCCAGAACACCAGGAAGACGCAGAAATTGATGTACACCCAACTGCAAGTGCTTAAATTCCTTCTGGATTTTCTTGACTCTGCCCCTTGCGTCCAGGATGCCTCTGATTCTGCTGTTCGTGAGTATCAGTGCTCAGCAGATTGTATGCAGTTGTGTGATGCAGATGTACTCTGGGTAAGAGTGCTTCTGCTTAATAATATTTTAAAAATGAAGTAGCCTTACAGAATGGATTACTCAATCTTTGTTCCATCTTCTGGCACTCCTACCTAGGATCAAAGAGAAAGTCTGTTTTCTGTTGGGCTTTCTTCTGTGGTAAGCTCTGACTGCCTCAGTGCTGTGCAACATCTAAGCACTATTTTCAGAGACAAAACAGGAGGACTAGAAAAGGTTTTGAGCAAGCCATGTGTACTTTGATTCAACTGGTGTGGGTTGACGTATTGTGCATGCTGATTTAACCCTGACTAAATGAACATCCATATTTCCTGGAGGATTGGAAGCTTGTCCATGAGAAGATCCATGTTGGATCAGACCAAAGGCCTCTCTAGTTCAGCATTTTGTTCCTCCACTGGCCAGCCAGATCCTTTTGTGAAGTCCCAGGCAGGATAAGAGAGCAGTAGTGTCCTGCACAGCAAACATTATTGAGAAGTTTACTACTTCTGTTACTAGAAGTAATATAGAACTATCATGACAGGCCTTAATAGTTCCATCTTATTAAAAGTGTTATCCTCCACCAATGTCTCTCTTGGTTATGGGTAGTTTGAAAATCCCAGCTGATGTCTGGATTCTCCTGTGCTACTTCAGGTTCAAGAACAGATTGTGGTCTCTTGCAGGAAAAGAAATGGAAGAAGCCAAAAAGCAATGGAAGGCCCTCAAAGCAGATTACCAGCAACAGGTGGAGGCTATCAAGGGGGCTGTGCCTCAGATATTAGCCAAACAGGAGGAAGTACGGAGCCGGGCTCTGCTTTTGGAGGAGGCTCTACAGCGCTACCAAGCGAAGGTTCTTCTGACTTGGGAATGATAATGGGGATGGACAGTTGGGGTTCAGAGGTCCCTTGCTTGCTGGTCAAACATTTGCCAGCACCCAAGATATCAAGAAGTACTAATATTTAAGCACTGTATAGCTGTATCATAAATAGATACCCTGATCATCTGTTTTAGATCAGTGTTTTTCAATCTCAGCTGCTTTAAGGTGTGTGGACTTCAACTCCCAGAATTCCCTAGACAGCATGCTGAGGATTGAGAAACACAGGTTTATATAAATACTTAGATTTAAGTTTCAAAGGAATGCTTTAATTAAAAGCAGCAGTCCTTAAAACTGAGAGCAAAGCTGAACATGACAAACCTGCCTGTCAATCTAATTCTATTGAAGTCTGTGGTCCATTAACTTGAGCTTATACCCCACTGAAATCCATGGAACATCCTTCTGGAGAAGCATATCTAGGATTCCATTGTAGAGTCTCAATGGAAATTGTTTACTTGTTACCAGTAGGCTAGCATTCTCAGAAAGGCTGGCTTACATTTTATGCAGTCATACTAGGTTTGGATAGTCAGAGCAAAAAGGTGAATAATCCGTGTGTCTTTCTTGCCAGAAGCAGGAATAGAATTGTGTGGGCATATCAGATTACAGACAAGCTCTGTATGAATGGATGAATGAAGGGTCTTTCTGTGTCTGGAGAACAATCGGCATAATGGATTTGTCCCAGCTGACCTCCTACAACTCTACTTATTCTATGGAGTCCTTGGTGCTCTCTGAGCTTGGTTGTTTGCTTGCAGACATTTCATTACCTGACTAGGTAACATCATCAGTACTGATGACATAGCACTTATGATGTTACCTAGTTGGGTAATGAAATGTCTGCAAGCAAACAGCCAACCTCAGAGAGCACCAAGGACTCCACAGTTCAACCCTGAACTACAGATATTCTCTTCTATGGGATCTACTTATTCTAATTCTGCATTTCCTTGATAGAAAGAAGAAGTAGAGGAAAAAGCAAGGAGTGCCCAGAAGAGGCACCTGAAAGAACAGGTAGGGCCTTTCAAATCGACTAATTGCATCTCAACTCTTTCAGAGCAGCCAATGGAACCCTTTGGCTTGATTTCGTTTCCCGTTGCCCTTGCAGGAGCTCTTGAGAGAGCGGCAGCAGCAGCTAGAGAGGCAGGTTGCCGAACTGCAGGACAGGTTGCAGGAGCAGAGGAAGGAGTTGGAATGCTTGCAAGGAGAGGTTGGGGAACAAGAGAGCCAAGCCAGGATTTGGCGGGAGAAAATGCAGAGGTGAGGAGGGAAATGGGAAAGTTGCTGTTGAAAGGGCATCTGTAATTGCAGATGTAAAACTTCCAGAGACTGCGAAGCAACAGGGGGGAAAAAAGAGGGTTTCTTTTTTTTTTCTTTCTGGGAGAAAAATGGAAATCTGGCAGAAAGGCAAATACATGCATTGTGTAATTGTTCAGTCTTTACAGCTCTAAAGTTATTTTAGAAAACATTGCATACAATTTGATTTGCAGATAAAAGTGATAAGTGCTTGAAATTGTGGGAGTGTTATCTGCTTTCATCCCAGAAGCTAGAGGAGTTACCAAATAAGGGTATCAGCTGTATTCTTGTAGTTATTTGCCAACTACCCAATGGTACAGCAGATTGCGAAACTTGGATTGAAATTTCTATCTGTTTTTTAAAAGAGTTTTAAAAGGAATCCACTCAAGCCCTCCAAAGTGGATGATCTTGAAAATTGGCTGTAAGGGCCCTTCTTTTTCTCCCTTGCCTATTCTGGACTCTTCATTATTTCCAGAGTCTCTGATTTCCGGGGCCTCTTGGAGACTTTGCAAGGTGTAAAGGTGATCTGTGTCTCAGAGAATGACATGGAGGTGGAGCTGACTTCTCATCCCCAGCCTGGGATTTCTGTTCCTCATTGCCTGAAGCTGCATTTACACTGGGGAGAGGATGGCAATGTCACTTTGCAGGTAAAAAAAGTGGGAGGTGGGTTCTACTGGACTTGGTGTGCTCAGAACACCAACCTGATCTTTCTCTCTTCTCCGTGTAGAGTGACAGCCCCTCTTTCCTTCTCCCTGTTGTACTTCCCCTGGGTACCTGCAGCACCATCAAAGGGGTCCTCTTGGAGTTGCAGCACAGCTACTCCCATCAAGCACAGCTTCTGGCTGAAATTGAGCTGCTGAAGAACTGGTGAGCATCTTTTGTTTGCGATGCTGTGTTGCTCCATAGAGCCTAAGGTGATCAGGAGAAGTTTCTGAGCATTGTATGTTGGGAAAGGGGCAAGAGAGAGCTCAGCCCTTGAGAATTTGCTTGGCTTGTAGTACGTTCTGGCATTATCCCCAGCTTGGCTTGTACCAGGTTCTAGCTTCATCCCCAGAGGTACTCCATTTAAAAGGTGCTGGGGTGCAAGGTTGAGAGAGAAGCTCTGCCTTTGCCATTCTAGCAATGCTGTTGTTTATGGCAAACGGTCCTAGGTACATAAAAATGTATATCCTGCCTTTTTTTTTTGACAAAATGACCCCAGAGAAATTCACTGATCCTCACCTCTCATAAACACAGACAGTTCAAATGACAAGTTAATACTTTTGCTTTGCCTAAAAACAAAGTGGGGAACAAAATGATTAGGTTTCAAAGCAGGGATACAGAACTTTAATCCATACTAAGCTCTGCCTAAAAAGAGCTTAACTGCTGGGGGAGTGGGGACTGAATTTCTCCAGAGCAGGAATAACCCATCTTGGTTCTTGCAGTAGGAAGTGGGAGGGAGGAAAAGAGAGTGTGGCTGAAGCCAACACTTTATTTTCCAGTGTACCTACCTGCTAAAAAAAACTTGTGCCAGTGTTCTCGCAAACCCCCTCTTGATGTTCACTAGGCTTGAAAATACCTTCTGTTTTTAAAAAGTAGGAGGTTGGCAAATCACCTAGCGCTGGACTCCAGCATCATCTTTATTTACAAGAATATCTCTGGGCCCAAAATGAGCCCAGAAGCTTTCTTTGAAAATACAAGGATGGGTGACTGAGACCTAATACTTTGTTTGGAAATAACCCTACCTGCTCAAAAAAAGGACGAAAAGAAACAAGAGCAACAAGAGAGGATGGCAGGCAGCATTCTGGTAAATCGGGGCCTTGTAACTGCTTACATTTCCATTAGCAACAATTTGGGGAGAGTGGCTATAGCATGTTCCCAAAATTCCATAAGTGCCCACAAGTCCAGAAAGCTTGGGGAGTCTTGTCTTAAGATATGGAAAAAGAGATTCTGCCATGGCTTCTTAAACTTGGGAAGCCACAAAAGTTCTCTGTGTGTGATAAGCATGCTCTGCAGATTTCTCTAAGCATCACTTCTCCTTTCACGAAAATGGTGCTTAGTTGTAGCATAGAACAAGGTTCTGGCTCACAACTGCCTTGTCCTCTGTTTCAAGGTAAGTGTCTTATTCTTCGTGATTCTTCAGGCCCCTACGGCAGTTGTTGTGCTGCCTCATATTTTCAGATGGGTTTGAAAGATTTGGGAGAGCCAGTTTTGTGTAGTGATTAAGGTACTGGGCTAGAAACCAAGAGATTGTGAGTTCTAGTCCCACCTTAGGCACAAAGCTAGCTGGGGGACCTTGGCCCAGTCACTCTCTGTCAGCCCTGGGAAGGAGGCAATGGCAAACCACTTCTGAAATCTTGTCAAAAAAACTGTAGGGACTAATCCAGGCAGTTGCCAGGAGTCAACATTGACTTGGAAAGCATATAATATGTAATGTAATGTAATGTAATTGAGGACTCCTGGCATAGGCCCAGCCGCCCAACCTCATACTTTGAGAATTGCAGTCATGTATGTGGTGATTTGCCATTTTCAAGAGATGTGCTACAATATGCAGAGGCCCACTTTCCTTTCCTCATTCTCTCTGATATTTTAACCTTTCCTCCTCTCTCTTCCCAGTTTTGCAATTGATTGGCAGCCAGAGAAGAGACTGCTCAGTTACTTGAAGCCTTCATCAACTTGCAGCCTCTATGTGGAATCAGGATATCCAACCAGTGGGCAGGTTCGCCTTCTCTCGATAAAGACTCAACATGGCACAACTGACGTGACTTCCTATAAGGTTGGTACACAGTTGTCACTGCTTTACCTTCTGGCAAAAAATCAAGGCCTTAACTGGGCCTGGAAATAGATTTCAACTGGCACAGCACTTCCCGAAAGTTAGAGATATTTTGAAAATGGAATGGTGATGTTGAATCCCATATGACCTCACCCATTCAAGATTCTTTTGCTTCTGTCTCTGTTCTGGATGATTGTCTTTGTCTCTTAGTTGCTAGACATTCAGAAGAAACAAATCAAGCCCTGAAACCAAGGAAGGAATTGGCATAATAGCTATTAGTGTTCTTAAGGTGCTGAGGATTTTTGAAGATAATGATAGTCCACTGTGCCAGGGATGAAGAGCCCATAATACTCTCCATCTTGCTGAACTTAAAAAGTCGTAGCAGCCTTTGGCTGCGTTGTCTGGGTCTGTTAGTATTTCCCAGTATTTCCCCAACATCTGGAGGGCCACCAGTTTCCCACTCCTGCTTTAGGCAATTCCATTTCCATTTTCTAGCTGTATGTCTAGATCTTGCCTTAGCACTTTTAGAAGGAGGCAGCAGATGACAGAGCTGTGAGATATTGCTATATGAGAGCCCAAGGAGGGCTATACGTTTTCTGTTTAAGCAGTAACAACACGCTGTTAATAGTCCATCCTGCGGAAAATAGAACAGTTCATATTTATTCATATGCCCAGGCATAAAACTCCAGTTTTAGGATTTCCTCTGTTCTTTTGACCCTCGCCATAACTTCTGAACCTCTTCTTTCCTGCAGCCCCCACAGGAAAAGCCTTCACTACAGAATTGGTTGGTATATCTGAGCACCATGGACTTCAATACCCCTTTCCTGGCCTGAAAAGCTGCTCTTGCCTGTGTATGTGTTACGTGGTGAGGATCAAGGCCAACTTCTCTGGGTTAGGCCACCTTCTTGTATCTTTGGAAGAAGAAGGAACTGGAATTTAACTGGGACAGCTCTATTGTGTGTGTGCATGTGTGTGTGTTTGGGACCATTTCAGCCTCTACTTCCCTCCCCTTTCACACTTGATTGTCTTGAATTGAGCTTCCAGTTCTCCTCTTTGGATTCTCCTCTTTTCCTGTTACTCTTGCTACTCTTCCTGTTACTGTTATGGCTGGATGAGTGTTGCCCATCTGTAGTCTGTGTCCAGTACTTAGCTTCTCCACATTGTTGAACTTTTTAAATGTTTTGATCAATAAAACAAATTTAATAGTAAATAAATAAAAAAATTAAAAAAAATACTCCTTGGAGGTTTCTAGCTCTCACTTGTCTGATTGACTTGATTATAAGAGAAAGTTTGTTTCATCTTTTAATTCCCTTCTCTTTTTTCCAGACAGTTACTCACATTTTTTTTCACCCATCTAGGCTATATTTTTGCTGAGCACATTACAAGCTTGGTGAATGTGAAGTCCCAAATGGATTTTTAAAGTATATCTGATACATTAATACACAAATAAACTGTAACTTTCAATATTGGTCAAATACTTAATTTGACCAATGTAAATACTCATACTATCCTTTTTTAATAATATCACTGTATAGGTCATTGCTTCATTCAGAGCAGCTTGTTGGAAGCGGAATTCAGCCTGTAGCCATGTGGGGGTAGTGTTGTACCACACTTTTTCATGAAACCAATCCTCTCGAGTGGCTTGTGATGTCACTCAAAAAGGATCTCTGAGCTACTGATGCAGAGTTGGGTTTTCCTTTGTGCCCCTGTTCTCTGCATTCGGAAGGCTGAGCAAACAGGAAAGGGTACCCAGGGAATGACATTGCTTGGACAGTGTGTCCCCTGAGATCAGGTTTGCCCCCACTTGCTTTGCGTTTGGAAAACTGGAGAAGATAGCTCTCTTTTGAAGAGGCTTGAGTCGGGACAGTGTTCAGTTAGATCGCAACTGTTTTTGTGTTAACTATTTTCTTTAATGGTTGATTTTAGATTGAATACTGTAAGCCACCTAGAATCGCTCAAATAGGCAGCAGGGTTACATAAATAACCACCTTTCTTCTGGTCAGAAGGCAGGGCTTTGACTTTTGTCATCTGATGAAGTCTTCCCACCTTTCCAGTTGTAGCTGAGCATTACATCTCCCAGTGATAAAAGGGCTGACAGTTATCAAAACGGCGACCAGATGCAGACTGCCCATCTTCACAAAAGAGGCAAGCTACCAGCTTCTTGTGTCTGAAAAAGCAAGAGGAAATGGAAAAGAGTCCAGTGGCCCTAAATTGCCGACATATAGGTGCCTCAGTTGAAAGGATATTTGGTAGTAGTAACATCAGTCCTTCTAAGGCATAATATTAAGCAGAGCGTTTAGGTTCTTGTTCCTCAGATTAACTGTTTGCAGTCTTGAGTGCAAGAGGGAAGACAGATGCTTGCTCTGCCTTTGGTACTCCAGCAGTGGGTTCTTTGTGGGTGACTTCTAGATGTGTCTGAGTCCCACTGGAGGCTTCTCATCTGCTGCTCCTTAAGGAGATTCCATCACAAATGCTGCGTTTGAAGTCGGGCACTGGGCACTGGGCTAGTGGCTTCCACGAGTTCCCTCACTTTTATTCGGCCAGATGACAGATGTTCTCTCCCCAGTTAGGGCTATAGGGGCACCTGGCAACTTTATCTGTATTTTGTAAAGTTTTGCGATGGAAGAAATTTAGCTATCAATCTGCTAAAATGACCCAGACCTACTTGTTTTAAAAAACATTAGATTTCATTGCATTTGATGTAAATCTTGAATGTCTTCTGGCAGAAAGCGTTTTGGATAGAAAAGGGGGTGGATTTCATTTATTTAGGATATTCATATGGCCATCCCTCTTAAGCCAATAACTCCGGGCAGCTAACAATACCAACCAATAAAAACAACAAAAATACAGTTAAAAACAGACATCATAAATACAGAATACGAAATAGAAAAGCCAATTCTGATTGATAGGCAACCACTTCGAAAGATCCGAGTGCAAGTTGCCTGTCTGCATTTTTTTAACCATTCCTGATGGGCAGAAGGTCTTTTACTCTCCCCTTCCCTCCCTCCCTCCCTCCCTCCCTCTCTGGAAGGGTTCTTTGTGGTTCCACTTTCCGCTGGAGGCTAGCCCTGAGTCTCTGTTTTGTGGTTCTTTCAACTCCTGTTAACAGCCTTCTAGAACAGGCCCAGGCTGTTAATATTTGAGTCTTTTCTGTAATAACAAAAGGCCATCCTCCAGAGCTGCTTTCACGTCCTCAGGGTTTCTACAGTTCGTTCCTCCACTCATCATTTTATACCTCCTCATAATGGCCAAAGCTTTTATTTTAGAACATGCTTGCGTAGTTTAGGAGTAATTTTAGCGTTAAAAGGAGATTGGCAGGCGCTTGAGGAATCCTTATGCCTTTTATATATGGCACTTTCCCTAGTAACTGGGGTTGAGCAGAAATATAATTAATTTTACAATGTGTGAGGAGTGGGAGTATTTTACAATCAAGTTCGCATTCATCTGAAAGAACACCTATGTAGCTATTTCTAACCATGAAATGCTTGGTTTTTTTTTTAATGCTCATGTCAAAAATGCTCAAAGAGGATATCAGCTAAGATGGCCACAGGAAACTTCCATGTACCAAGGCTGTATAGCTTCATGTCTACCTAAAACAGTGTTTCTCAACAGCAACTTTAAGATGTCTGGACTTCAACTCCCAGAATTCCCCAGCCAGCATGCTGGCTGGGGA